TATTTTCAATTCATAAATTCAATAGTTTAGAAGGAGGTACTGTTAATAAAACTCACAGGTACGATTTAGGCGACGGTTTGCTGAATCGTGCTTTTGACAGCATGTTACAAAAAAGCTTAGAACAAATTAATTTGCTATTAGTGAAAGATTTAACATGTAATATTTGATGCCTTGAACATCAAGCTACAATTTCCAACGTTTGTTTGCATTCTAATTAAATAGCACCAAATGTGAAATATAACCAAAAATATCTTAAGTGGTACGTATTCGGCAACTCTCCCCTATGTTCCAATAGTATTTTTCCACAAGGGCTGATGCTCTTCTCTTTCTCTGAAGATTAAAAAAATCTTTTTCTAACATTTTCATTATTGCGTGGATATTGGTGTTGCAGGTGGATATCTGACAATGTCAAGTCATCTAGAGTATTATAGTGGTCCGGGTGCAGGAGGAGGAATGCTTCCCGCAGGCGGGGGTGTGATGCAGGGTATGGAGGACAGCATGCAAGGTTTATCAATACAACCGGGCAGACCGTTGAGCGTTTGCTCCGTGAGTTCTTGCAGCGCTGGTGGGCCTACTCCAGCTCATCGCTCGGGTAATGGCCTGTACTCCAATTGTAATGGTACACCTCAAGAGGAACTCATGGATGATGAGCTTTTGATGTCGCTTTCTGTACGCGAACTCAACAAACGTCTTCATGGTTGTCCACGGGAACAGGTGAGTAAAGTTTTTATTTATTGTTTGCATAGCAAAAAGAGACCGATATTTTAAATCAGGAATTGAAAGGTGGATAAAATCGATATAATTCTTTAACTTTTATATGTTATATTTGATTCATACTATACTTGAAATGATTCATGAAGCTTTAGCTTTAAGGGATAGGCAATATTTTTGGAATTATCATAAAATAAAAAAATGTTATAAATATGTAATTTTATTTATGATTGTATATGTATTCACTCTTTATAATAGAAATAACCCGCTCATATTGATCATATAAGCATTAATATATGTAAAACGATTGAAAATAAAACATATGTATTCTTTTTTAAATATTTTATAAAAATATTTTCTCGCACGTTTAGGGATTAAAAAAATTTCTTTAAATTAATTTGATACGTCTAATTTTAATTGAATGTTACCAAAATTTTTGTAGGTATAAATGTTTAGTTTTATAGATCTTAATGCATTTTATAAATATACTAAACATCACGCTAGACGCTTTGCGCGCGCTTTTTATTTTTTACTTTCTACTTACTTGTTCAAATGCATTACATTGTATTACAATATATCATAAACTCTTTGTTATGCACAATTGTAAAAATGACAGTCTGTTATGATGATAGCTATTCGCGAAGTAAGCGCAATAAGAGAACCAATCAGAATCGCGGAAAAGAGACTTTAAATACTTCGGTAAATGCGAGTATCAATTTAATATATCTTTTTTAGAAAGAAAATTTTTTGAAAATATTTAGTAAAATATACATATCTATTCTCTATTGGTAATTGCGAAAATATTTTTTTTTTAAACGAAAATTAAAATGCATTTAATTTACTTATTTTAATAATTTTAATTTTTGAAATCACACATTTTTAGAAAATGAGTTGGAAATATTACGTTATATTGTTTTGCTTCACATGCAGACTAAATTATACTAGTCTGATTATGTCAGACATATATAATATTGACGGATATAATTTATTCTGTATCATATTTCATATTACAACTGCTGGTTGTACTTATACGTATTAGAGATGAGGAATAATTTACAAATATATTAGATAATAATATTTGTGTGGCAATATTACGCGTATTTTTACTACAAAAGCTTTCAATATATATTTAATATTATATTGAATATTATATATTGACAAGTAAGTAAATTTTTGATAGAATGATTTAAATTCTGTATTTAGATTCACCAATTCATTTACAAATGTATACGAACTGTTTCATGTGCTTGCTCTATCATGTTTGTTAACATAAATTCGTTTTTGACGTGCGTTATGTGTATATGCGTGTGTGTCAATTAATTTAATATATCTTATGCATATCTTATAAATAAAAATTAGAAACTAAGATATATAATATAAAATCATATTGTTCAGAAAAAAAAAGGTTTTTTTATATTTTTGAACTGTAATCGAAATTTTAATGAGATGGCCGATACTAGAAAAATTATATTCTGATAGAAGACAATTAAAACAAATTAGAATCTAGTTTACATAAATACGGTTTCTTTTATAAAATAAAAACAAAAATTCCGAAACATCAAAATTGCAAAATAAACAATAAACAATATTACAAAATAGTATTCAAATGTTTACGAAATTTGTTTATAAATAGAAATACATTATATTTTATGGATTATTTGAAATATTTCTTTATAATGCAAAGTCGCTTGCATAAAATGAAAATTCTTTGTGTGTAGGAAGAATTTTGTCTCTAAGAACTGTTTGTAACTGCTTGAGCTCTTTTCAAAAAATATCAGGTAAATTCTTTTTACAAAAATGGTCATTTTATTTTGCCAAGATATTTTGAAAGTAAAGGGAGGATGGTGAATATAAATTTTTTGAATGAATATCCAAATATATTATTTTTTTAGAATGGATAATTTAATTTCTTTCAATATCTTTATTAAAAAATGAATCTTATTTGTGAAGGCAATTTGCTTTTTTTCATCAAAACTCCCGTTTTTAAACATTTTAACCATTGTGATGTAAAATTACATTCACATCTATGGCTACAGAGCCAACAAGTCATGTATTATGATTTTGTAGGCATGTAAGTTTACAACATTTTTTAGAATTTTTTGTAAATTTTTTTGCTTTATTTCAAGAACTTGAGTAATTTTCTAAATAGAGGAATTTGAATTTTTTTAAAATAAGCCTTGACATTGTCTATAGTTTCTTCTGTTGTTGTTCTGTATATCAAGTCAAACATATCATGTTTTTAGTTATTTAGTGTGTATCATATGTAATAAAATTATCCTATAGAAAGATGTCGGAAATTTTTAAAAATCTTGAATAATATAACGTGACATGGTAAAACCGTAATTTTAACATAAATATATAAACGTTTAAAAACTTATTTTTTAGTGAGTTTTCATTTGTAACTCGTTTTAATCTATGTTTAGTACGTAAACAATTCACAATTTATGTTTGCATATATTATTTTTCTTCAGCATATGATAATACGTATTTATTGTATCTTTTCTTTCACGATAAGATCGCTTACGTTTATATTTGTTGTCTAAAATATACTTGTCTAAAATAAAATTTACGAATAATTTAGGTACAAAATCTGATGACTTATAATAAGTGAGAGAAAGGTAAAACTTTAGTAATTTCATTTTAGCAATTTCTTAATGATCATTCTAAATTTGGCATGATCTGATATTATTAAAATTATTTACAAACATTGTTAACGCAATCTTATTTTGAAAATTGTGAAATCTTTTTTTTTAGGAGAATTATAACAATGATGATGAGAATTACAACAAAATAAATAAAATAATAATCGTTTAATTTATAGGAAATCCAAACACTTACTCTACTATTGAGATATCTTCAATACGTATAATAAATGCAAAAAATAAAACATTTTTAAATTATAATAAAAGTTTGTATTTTATTATTATTATATAGCGATTTTTTAAAATAAAAAATATAACAAAAAAAATATATATATATATTGAAAAAATATATCGTATAGGATTTAAAAATTTACGGTTAATCTTATATAACCGCACACAATTCGCAAATACTAATTAATAGCATTATTTTTCAACTATTGAGAAATAAAAAACTTGAGGCTCTCTCTCTCTCTTTCTCTCTTTCTTTTATAACTTTATATTTATAAACATTTATTTACTTTACATAAATATAATAATACGTTTAGATATAACGCTATTATATCATAAGAAGATATCATAAAAAAATATACATTATCAGAGTCATATCTGAGTAATCGTCATAGGAAGATAATGTTGCGAAGATAATGATCATGTCAAAAATATTGTATTTCATGATTCATCCGAGAAATTTCATATTTTACTGTGTAAATAATTTTTTACATTGTTTTTATCATAACTCAGCAAACACCAAGTTACTATAATGTACATGTTAGTTGTAATTTCCCACTTAACAATATAACTATAATGTAACACATGTGTTATTAAATGGGAAATTACAACTAACACGTACGTTACTATGTAACTTGGTATTTGCTGGGAATATTTTTGAAACTTAAACAGTCTTTATTAAAATGAATGTTGATTTTGAGTTAATGTTTACCAAAGATATAAGTTTTTAATATAAAAAAGAATAAAGCTGGTTAATTAGTAAGGCAAAGCAATAATAGAAAGAAAACTAAGACTAACCAGATGAGCAAAAATTTTTTTTTGTTAGAACATGTTTTACATCGAAAATAAAAGGTTAAAAGAAGAATGATCTTTAATTATAAAGTCTTCTGAAAAATAAAAATTTTAAATTTCAAAAATTTTTAAAGAGAATGCAAGATATTCTAGAAAAGAAATATTCTAGAAAAGATATTCTAGAAAAAAACAAAAATCTAAAAAAATGTTTAATTATAAAATAATTAATAGTTATGAAACTTTCTCATGAAACTTTTTTCACATGTGATTTACAGTTTTAATGATATTTTTTAAAATCAATTCTAAGCTTTGGGGGCCTGAAACAACGTGTGAGAAAATATTTGTAAAATATTTTTTTTCTTTCTTTTTTTCTTGAGGCTAATTATTGTTTGTTTATAGTATAAACTTTGAACTCAATAACATTATATCGGTTTTTATTCTTATTTTAACTAGACAAATATTACCAATTATTACCCTGTTGAAGCCAAATAAATTCTCTTCTTAATATCTTCCTTCGGTTGCTATTTTTATTATGATACAATAGCAAATATATAAAATGCAAGATTAGTATTGACATATGTACATATACATAATAGTTTATATATTTTTTAATTTGTTTATTTTATGCATCATATAATAATATGGCAAATGTCAAGCAATACAGGAAAAAATACATAAATTAAGAATGTTAAAAAAGTTCAATATTGTATGATTAAATATACGATTGTGTGCGAAGGTCGTGCGGCTGAAGCAAAAGCGGCGAACGCTAAAGAATCGCGGTTACGCTCAGAATTGTCGTAGCAAGCGGCTACAGCAGCGGCAGGATCTTGAGAGCACCAATCGGAACTTGCAGAATGAACTCCAGCGCACGAAGATCGAGCTGACGCGGCTTCAACAGGAACGCGACCTTTACAAGCAAAGATACGATATGTTGAGAACGCGACAGAATCATCATCACAATCACAATCATAGCCATCAACAGCAGATGACACAGCAACAACAGCAGCAGCAGCAGCAACATCAAACCCAAAGTCAGCAACCGCATCCACAGCAACAACAGCAACAGCAACATCAGCCAGCACCAGCGAGTCCTGAAGTCTATCTGTGACATCGACAGCGCCGAGGAGGCGCTTGTTGGACTTGAAGAGTCATTTGTTGCGTCGATGGATTCTTCTGTCGGTGAGTAATTACAAGCCAACAGTATACTATATAGAGACTATATACACAATCACAATGCACAATGTAACACTTGCTTACAAGAAATACATATATATCTTATTTAATTATATACATTTAACGTATTATTTACAATTATTTCTAAAAAACATAAGAATTGTGTATTAATTTTATTAAGGTGTAACATCTTTATTAAGGTAATTCTTTAGTAAATAGTTATTTTAGAAATGTCCAATTTTTTTTATATAATAAAGTTGAAGCGCCGAACTTGACGTGTGCAAAATTCTAAAGTAGGTTATCGGTGAAATAAAAGAGAAAAAAAATGTTGAAAATGTAACTTTTTACGTATAACTTAGTAACAGGTTGAGCTCGGAGACACTTCTTTGACTAACTGCACACAAACATTATTTACTTTTCTTCTAAAAAACGAGATTATAACAGTTTAAAAAATTACGATTTTAATGGTCACCAAAAAGTAATAGATCATTGGCCATTTTGGAAAGATATTTAATGTTGAAATGTAAAAAATATCGCATAATCTTGCTAGCAATCTACATACATTGTATCTCACTTTCCTATCCTCATTCGTTAATTGTCGCGTGGGATAGCTCATAGCAATATTGTTTGTTTCATACTATTTCATTAGATATACACGTAGTTTTAACATTTTATTCAAAGTTCACAATATGTGTGATTTTGGGTGGGTCCCGATGAGGCACCTCAAATTTTCGGCCTTTATATTAAAGATATAAAGTCTGTCCGCCTTAAAGTCTGTCTCTCTTTATAATAATTTTTAACATTCTTTTTTTAAATTTTATTTTATTAATAAAAATGAAAAAGAATCTAAAAGCTTCACGCTTTGCAATAAGAAAAATATAAAATCTGCAATTGTTAACATAATATCGATGGATCAATCACTATGGCGCAATCAATGTATTTACATTTCTTTAGAAATATATTACGACAATACAATACTAGTAATACGCTATCAATACATAGCAATAGAAAGCATTAGTAATACTTGGCAATATTGTGCGCAATAGGTGACATGAATAGATGGCAGTATTAATGACAATATAAAAACAATACTAATATAGCAATACAATAACAATGCTAGCAATAAAAAGTATTACCATAATCAGCAATTATTGTACATTTTTTTTAGTAGTGATTGATCTCTTGCATAATATAAATATTGTAATAATTAAAAAAATAAATCTTTTACAAATTATAAACGATTAATTGAGGTTAATTAACTTGATCCAACTAGGTCCAAAGCGATGTCGATCACTGAAACATTTATTTATAATTTAAAACTAAATGAAGTAGTTACTTAAACATTATAGTTAAAAATATTTATGTAAAAAATCTCGTTTTTATTAATAATTTTAATAGCCTCATAGATACAAAAATATTCACCTGATAATTTCACCGCTGAAAAACGAAAATCTAATCTTGTTCATTCGTTGATAGTCGGGCGCAGACTAGTGTATGCAGCACAGTTTTTGCGCATTTGAATGTTCGAACTTGCCTCTATGCTCAAAATAGCCTCGATTTACTCAACATAAAAAGGACGACTGCGTCCGCCGGCAATGTTACTTCATAAATGTTGAAGCGCTACCAAGTTTATCAAGTATATTATTAATACTGTTGCGCTCATCGCAGAGCGGCACTTGCGCGCGAGTCGAAATCGGCACTCCTCGACGCGCGCGGGGGAAATATGATGCACTATTCAAAAAGGGAACGAAATGTTTATTAGTAATTAAATTGTCTTTAAATGTCGCAAGCGGTATTTTATAACGTTCACGTTAAAAGCCGCGACAGAACGACACACCTAACGTTGCCCCCGGCAATCGTCTTCTTCTCTCTTCGCTTTGCGCGATACTTCGCGCGGTCGCTCAACTCAAGCCGCAATTAGAAGATATAGGGGCAGGGGCGCAACACTACTATTGACAGATTTATTTGCATTAGTATTTTGAAGGTGATGCGAGTACATTGAGAAAAAAAATTGATTGTACGAACTAAATTTATATAGTTATTTGATCCAATAGTAAATTCAACAATTCTTTAGCTGCACAAAGAAACGTATAGTTCATTCATGTCAACTATAAAAAATTTTAATTAAGAATTAACTAAACCAACTCAATTAAATTATTTTGTTCGAAATACTAGTAGTATTTATTTGCGTTTGCACTCTATTTAGTTATCCAAGTAATATATTTGTTTAAATTCCAAGTATCGAACTGATTAAACGATGCTGATGTGGATAATAAATAATGTGTAGTTTTAATAGAACGGTTGAGTTGAATACGATCAATTTTTGTTGAAACAAAATAGTTTAGTTAAAAAATAGTATTTTGTTTATAATAGTAACAAATTATTTTGTGTCATCGTAGTAACGTTTAGTCGAACGTATCGGATTAAATATTTTGGTAAAATAAAACATTAGTACATTACAATCGAACTTCCATAACTTGAATCTCAAGAGAAGAGCTAAATTCTTCAAGTTATAGATTTTTCGACTTATCGAAATTCGAGTAAAAGAGGGTTAACATATGAAAATTCGACTTATCGAGGCTTTGTACGAGAATTTATAATTTTCCGATTATAATAGCTTTTAAAGGAAAAAAAATCATTCATTTGACAGTGAATTATTTATTGCATACATTATAATAAATGTAATCATAAAACAAATACCAGGCTATTAATTATGGTTACATATAACTTCGAATTATAGAGGCAGCGACAATAGAAGTTCGACTTATAGAAATGAACTTTGATTTGTAGAGGTCTTGCTACTTTAAATGCGAGTTGCAGAGGTAAAATAATACATATAAATATCTGACAAATAATTTGAGTGAAAATAGGTTTTATTTCGATTTATAGAGATTTTTCACAGTAAAGCGAAAGGGAATGAACAAAATTTTCGTCTTATAGCGGTTTTCGAGTTGTAGAGGTTCGAGTTGTTGAGATTCGACTGTATTTTATCTTATTGAAATATGGATTCTCGAAATATGGATTGCCATTGCCATTTCATACATTTGAACTCATCATCTTTAATTTTTTTTTCAATCAATCTTTTTGAATTAAGGGATACAATAAAACCCCTTAAAATGAAAGTCGGGATTAATATCAGGATTTATCGATTATACAAGTCAACCGCTTTCAGATTGAGCAGATATTTCACTCTTAAATGAAGAATTATATGTACATTTTATAAAATTTTTTTATTATATTTAAAAAAATTTAATTTTTTAATTTTTATTAAGATCTTTATTTCTTCTGAGCTATACAGGTTATCTGAATTTATTAATAGAGATGCGCACGAGACGAGATAAATCTCGATCTCGTCTCGATCTCGTCTCGAAATCGAGACGAGATTCGAGATCGGGATTACTTATAATATTCGAGATCAATATCGAGATTTACCACATCAAGATCAAGATTATTGAAAATTCTCGTCAAGATCTCATTGAGATCTCGACAAATATTTTATTATTTCACCGATCTGACGACACTATATGACGCTGTGGCTGCTGCACACATAAACCACGCAACGCCACAGACAGTGAAGGATTATTGGTATAGACATTACAAATGTTTCATTTTTACCCTGCGTAGTTCCATAGTGAAAATCGCAAGGAATTATGACTCCTGTACAGCGCGATGTCCGTCGCATACGATACTCAAT